CAACGCTCCAAAGCTAATTGATTGTGCACGCTCATCCTGCATGTGTGTAGCTGTTACACCACCTTCCCAGGAGATGGCAGTAAGCCATGGGCTTAGATAGCATAGCATATAGGACAGTTTTGAAACACTTGGAGTTAAAGCATTTGAAGATTTTAAAATTTTTATTTACAGGGTTAAAGGTGCTGCAGTGTGTAGGAGCACCTCAGAGACTTCAACCCACAAGCCACTGGAGTGCATTTCCACAGTCGCGAGCCCTTAGCCTCCTCTCATCCTCCTCTCTCGCAGTCCACACTGACTTCAGGGGCAGCAATGTTGAGGTTCATACCTTCATCTTTCTAGCATTCTACCACATCTAACTTCTAGTCAGAATTATCAATTTCTTAGGTAATCACTGACACTTAATAACACTTGGATATACTTGTCTAGGATAAGAAATGCATGAATTGTAATAGCAATTGCTGATGAAAGAACATCTAAGAGTCATGAAAACTATTTTAAAAATTTCTGGTGCATGAAAGCAATAGGGAGATTGTTACAGGGTCGCACTACGCAGCTCACATTCATAGTGATCCTCCTGTTTTAAGCCTCCTCAGTGCTGGGGTTACAGCGTGCACTACGCCCAGACGCTATGACTGGCTCAGCCCTCCAGGGGGCAGTGCCGGCGCCACAGGCAGTGCTGGGTGGGGATTGAACTGCAGTCTCTGTGTTTGCCTAAGCTTACCTAAGCAGGCACTTAGTCCACTGAGCTATCTTGCTGGCCCTGAAAGTTTATGTTTTTGATAAAAGGATACTGCCTGTGGCAACTAAAGTTCAATTTATGATGCATTTTTCCAGCAATTTTAAATTTAGGTAATTGCTGGTTATCTGAAAATATTCTTAGAGGATTTAAACTTTTTCCTAATAAGTTAATCTTTGTTAACACTTTAACATAGTATTTTAGGTTTTCATAAATTTCAGAATTTCATAACATTTTATTTTTCTGTATACTTTGTGATTTATTTATGAAAAAATATACATGTACAACTAACTGGATGGGAATATATAAATACCAAAAAATTAAAGGAATTGATTTAAGATGGTGAAATTTGAAGTGGTTAACTTTTTCCTATGTTTTCATATTTTCTTAGTATATGTTAATTTTATAATATTTAAACTTTTGCATCTTAAAGCCTTATTTGGTCCTCCTGAGGAAATTTCATTGGCAAACCATTGAGTATAATTTGAAATGATTTCACAAGAGTTAGAATATCCTGTCATACTTTCTTTTCTGTAAATGCATATACAATTGGTTAGGGTTTATTTTTATTTTCAAACCATCTTTGTTAATGATCAACATGCTGGGATTTTTCCCACTATGGCTTTTCCTTAAGGATAAATTTTAGTGACTATAACGTGTTCAGAGACAGAGTGTGCAATAGAAGAAGGACCCCGTGAACTCACGTATTTGACACTGAGCGCCTTCCCAGGAGGGAGGACA